GCCAAACGCCCCACGTTTTCTGCCTATTCGCCCGAAAGTAATTTCAGCAACCCTCTTCGTAGAACGGCTTATCATTTTTCAGTCATAATCAGCTTATAATCTGCACCACCATATCCTTCGTTCAAAATTTCATTTACACGAACTTGAGGCTTAATTCCATCTTCAATATGCCTCGTCCCATCTCACCAGAAAGTCCTCAACTTCCCACCTCTAAAGTTCTGCCATGTACTGAATAACTTACACCGCTAGCTGATTCTATGATTTCTTCCCCAGGTATTCCAAAGTCTCTCCCCATCCTGAAAGATGGTAATTCCAAGGGAATAATAACTTTAGCTCGGCTTGAATGAAACAACTAAAGTTACAATGGCAACTAAATTAACAATGGAATGCTGGACAATACCCTCATCGTTCTTGAGAAGTATCCCAGCTCTAGCTGAGAGAGTACCTTAACTGATTAATGAATGCCAGGGAAACATATTTTTGGTTTAATTATGTTACTACAGTACTAATTTTTTTTTTCATTATGTTACTATAGTACTAAATGTTATGTCCCAACAATATAATTCTCACATCGAATAATGCAGCCGAACATTATTGGAGTTCTCACCCTGTAACTCACACGAAACAGTGTGCGAGCACACTGTGGGTACTCCCACAGTGTAACTAACAGACTGTGGGTGATCCACCATGTAACTACCATATAGAATAATGTGGCTGCACACATGTGAGTTCGAGTCACAGATCTCTCATACCGAATATTATGTTATTATTAAAATCAAGGGGGAAGCGCTAAACCTGTAGGATTATGCAGCGCTAGTGGGGGGGGGGTGGAAGGTATTCAGGCTAAATGCAGTGAACTGGAGCTCAGATCCAATTCCCTAGATCACGAGCCCCTCACCAGCGTCAAGGAACCTTCCTTGAGGGGACCGAATATTATAGTCGGACACTACGTGTGTTCCTACCATGTACCTATAATATAGAATACAGTAACAACATAATGCTGATGTGAAAATTGTGTTTAAATAATCGATCATTCCCCTTCTTCCCTTTCCATTCTGACTCCCAGGTTCATTTTCATTCCCAGGGTGAACCTACCTGTGTAGTATTAGCTGACAGGGATCTTGGTGTTCTGGGATAGGTGCTATACACAGTGTTGTGATAGGGGACGGAGGCACAGATATGGATGCTGCCGAAACCACCTTCCTCTGGAGTACTGGGACTCTTCTTCTGTCTCTCACCGCTTCCTGCAAATGTAAATATTGTCATTCTAGGAATATCTCGCATCTTTCACGATTTTTTTATGTTAACGAATCAATATTTCAAGTAATAAATAATTAGACCAATATTTTAATGTTTTCTTTATTATTTATTTCTAAAGCACAGATAGAATTTATAATTAATATCTAACCCAAAGATATAAGTTAAAAACAAGATGAGATTTCGGTTTAGTGTTTATTTCCAATTTTTTTGGATTAGTTGAATAATATTTCAGCAGCAGTATTGTAACCTCCATTTTTCATATTTGCATAATAAACAAGGAATCATATTTGATACTGAATCTAGAACCAACACAAATCTTAGACCAGATTAGAACTTATTATTAATATTTTTCAAGAGTACAATGAATATCGACAACTTAAGTTCTCACAGTAATCTTTAACATAAATAAATCTTGCATCTGTTGTTTAGGAAGAGATAAAAAATAAAATGTGATTTCAACAATAAGGTGGGATAAGAAAAATTAATGGCACAAATGATCCCTCAGGCGCAAACGATACAACATAGAGTCAACGCAGCAGATGAGTATTGTATATCTTAGTTTACGACTGAAAACCTCATTTAATTGGTCTTGATAATGGTCTAAGACTAACAGAAAAGTTGCCTCCGTGTTGGTTCGTTTGTGTTTATGTTAACCCAGTCACTTACCGTTGGAGGGGATGAGGTCAGGATTCTTGTCGTCGAAATCCCGAGTATCAGCCAAGAACGTTTGAAGGGGCAGTGTGACATCCTTATTCCTCAAACAGTGATTTTTCTTGAGACTGACCACCACTGCTACCACAAGTGCCAGTAGCACCAGCGAACCCACCACTGCCACCACCACTGCCAATATGGGAGTGACGGACACTAACTCTTCTGGTGGTGGACGAACTTGGGCAGTGCGCCTTTCCGCAATGTCTTTAATAGTATAACCTGTCAGATACCACTTTTCGCTTGGACCTTTCTCGTTGGCAGCGTAAACATGAACTATATATGAAGTTTCTGGTTCGAGTCCTCGCAAGGCAAATTGTGGGGCGGTGTTTTCTGTAATATTTAGTAACAAGCGTTTACTGTCAGCCTCATAAGCCTCAATAATGAACTTTTGCACAAGACCACCATCGTATCCAGGGACACAGTGTACCGTCAAGGTCTCTGTCGTCTGGTTAGTAAGGTTGCAATTCTCAGGTGGGTTGGGTTTGCCTGCAGGTACAACCTTATAAGCACACGGTATTTTCTGCCTGCCGAGGGCATTGCTGCCCCAGCAGAGTAAAGTGCCGTAATCCAGCTCGGTTCGTGCCACGTAGGATAAGGAGGACTGAAGTCCCTGCGTGGCTACGTGATTTTCTGCGATGTCAACTACGTCGCCGCTGCTGTTAAAACGCCAAAAGAAATGAACAACTGGAGGTACGGCATCCAGACGACAAGTAACTGAAACCTCTTCGTTCTTTGCAGCGCCGTAAACGTGAAGCTGACCAGAGGCGCACACGGGAGCATCTGATGGCAGCAAAATACTTTCAGAACACCATAACTGACATCAAACTGGTTATTACGAAATGAACACACTATTTTGGGGCAAAAATGACATACCAAATTTTCTGGCATGTAAGGCGCTTGACAGACGTATCATAACAATAAATCAGTAATCATAATCAAGGGCTAATGACCCTGATACTTTACGCTAAAGAGTAACCCAAAGCCTCCTTTTGACCCTGACCTTGATCATATAGAGCACAGGGTGATTTTTTAAGACTTTTAGTTGGAAAAACAGCTCGCCTTATATGCTGTAAAATACGGTACTTAATATATTGGCATCTATTCATGGAAGCCTTAGAATGAGAATAAAATATTTAATTTGTTGGAAATCATTTTCCAAACAGTTATTCTTTTAGCACACCTGCTATCTCTTATCAAGGATGGGGAGGACAGGAGAACTTAGGATGCTATGATAAAACGTACAAGATGCTGAGAGGACCCGACA